AGAAGAATGGTCCGATGATGCCTCCAGCCCAAAATCTGCACCAAACAGTGACACATTGTGGATGCATTTGTTTCTCAACAATCACTCGTGGATTTTCTGAACCCCAAATGCAACAATTTTGTTGATTAACCAAGCCATCAAGATGAAAATATGTATCAACGAAATTCAGCCACATTTATGCAAAACGGTCATGGAAAATTTCAACAAAAGAGTGCGTATGTGCCAGCAAAGCTGTGGAGGCCATTTACCTGATATGCTATTCAATACATAACCCTATACTGTGTACTTTATGAATCTATATAAAAGTTACAATTTTTATTTATAAACCTGTGTTTTCTATCAAAATTACTTCTTGCGTGAATTTTGGGACATGCTTTAGAAACATCAATGATGAGAGAGAATCACTGACTGGCTGCCTCCTGCATGCCCCCCACTGGAGACCATGCCAGAAGCCCAGTCATGTGCCCTTGACGGGACTCGAACCCGGGACCTTTCAGTCCACAGGCTGACGCTCTATCCACTGAGCCAAACCGGCTAGGGCAATTCTATACTTTTTAAACTGATTCTGGAAACTTAAACTTTTGAACTTTCCAGTCCTGCATGAATACCTGGACCCACATCAGGTCGTTGTACATCAATGCCTGGCCATACATCATTCCCTTAAGTGACTTTGAGAAGAAATTGTTTCATTATCCAGATCACTGGACATCTGAAGATTACCATCTAGACCAGTGATGGCGAACCTATGACAAATGTGTCAGAGGTGACACGCAAACTCATTTTTTTGGTTGATTTTTCTTTGTTAAATGGCATTTAAATATATAAAATAAATATCAAAAGTATAAGTCTTTGTTTTACTATGGTTGCAAATATCAAAAAATTTCTATATGTGACACAGCACCAGAGTTAAGTTAGGGTTTTTCAAAATGCTGACACGCCGAGCTCAAAAGGTTCACCATCACTGATCTAGACCAACCCAGAGGCTAAGAATAGAGGACTGATTCTTCTTAATAACTTTCTTGTTTTTCGAACAAAAGTCTAACATAAGCAAAATGTAAGAAATGAAGACTTGGCCATAGTAAGTTTGGTGTAAAGAGTATTTAAACTCACTAATCTCTGCTATTTTGAAAAATAGTCATTTGAGGTTTAATTCCTAGAATTCAAGACACATTTCAAAGAAGAGGCTCTGATAACTGGGAAGGAGGCAAAGTTACCAAGCTCAGAACAGTTTGGTCAGGTCTGGGGAACACATGCAAAACTCTAGAATCAAATAGCAGACACAAGTAGGGACCTCCAGGACTTATGTTTTCCCCTCAGGTGATCTTGCCCAAGCCCAGGGTGTGTGTTTGGAATCTGTTCACAGGTGAATTCCATGCCACATACCAAATGGCCAGCAGCTCCCAGGTGCTCTCATGCAAAAGCAATTCACACTCTCACTCCCCCACATCACCCAATATCATAATATTTATGATCTACAAGGACCTCAACAGTCAGTAAGTCTAAGTCCTTTATTTTAGAGTTGAGGAAGCAGAACCAAAGAAGGAAAATGACTTGCTTAAGGTCACAGAATGGTAGATCAGATGTCCTCTCAATTTACACCTTTTATTCTTTTATTTTAATCTTTGTGTTTTACCTCTTTGTCATTGTCTATGCTCAGTACCTAACCAGAATTATCTCTTTGTTTTCAGGAAATTTGCCCCTCGATGTTCTGTGTGCAAGGAGCCTATCATGCCAGCCCCCGGCCAGGAGGAGACTGTCCGAATTGTGGCTCTGGATCGTGATTTCCATGTTCACTGCTACCGGTGTGAGGTCTGTGGTCTGCACCCTCAAATCTTGCAAGGCAGGCGTTGAAAGGCCCACTAGAGCCAGGTTTTCATAAACATAGAAATTATTCAATCTGGGACAGCCCGGAGTGCCTGTCTTCAAAGGGCTTGGGTTTTAGATCTGGCATGGGCACTTAATGCTAGTGATGTTAGATAAGTCACTTTACCTCTCTCTTTCTCTATTTCCACACCTATTAAAAGGACTCATTCTTATCTTTCCCAAACATGGCTGGGTGACTAAAATGCAAATTTGCATGTTCAAGAACACTGTCAATCACAAAGTGCTAAGTGAGTAGGGAAAAGTTATTGCTGTTGTTGTTGTTACTATACTAAATCTTTCACTTGGCTCTGATATTCCTGTGAGGCAGAGACACCATTGTCCCCCATGGAGGAGGATAAAAATTTATTCCTTTAAGGGGTTGGAACTTCATGTTCAAAGTCATGGAGATTCATTAAGTTAGCCAGAACTGACTGAGCACTTTACACCACAGGTCAGGTGACTGCTAAGAGCTACAGAAGAGTTATGCACAAAGTGCCACAGGAATACATATATATACTAGGGGCCCGGTGCACAAAAATTTGTGCACTGGGGGGGGGGGGGTAGAGGGGGGACG